TGGAAATAATGACAGACGAGCCATTTTATTTGTCCTGTACTGCGGTCTCGTTTCGGTCGTTAAAGCAAGCTCAGAGTCGCGTGAAGGATTTACGAGAACACAAAGGATCAGCAGTTTCTCGTTTTTATTTTATATACAAACATAGATCTCGATTTTGTACCCTCTTGGTACATCGCGTTCCTTCTCTCTGTGAGCGTCCTGTTTCCTTTGAATATTTCAGCAAACCGTAGAACACCGTGCGGAAAACTTTTCGCGTATGCTCATTTTGTGCGAACTGTGGTTTAAAGAAAATGGAAGGATTAACGGATTATAAAGGGATACTTAGTGCTAAGGACGAAGAAGTTTCACGAAAATAATTTTTACCTTCTGCCTTTTGTAATAAAGCGTTTTATTTACGAACACACTTTTTCTTCGTTAAAATTAATATAACCACTCTTAAAATAGGGGTAATAATTTGACAGAAATGATTTCCTTTCTCTTAACTGATATGTTCATTGATTAATTTGGTGTAAATTTATGATCCCCTTATTCGGTTATAACCTTTAAAAATTTTCAAATCTTGTATTGGACACAATTTCTTCCTGTTAATTCATCGCAAGATATTATGAACTTACTATTTACCGAAAGGCAAGCAAAAGTATTAGCTTGGACATATGAACTAATTGTGAAGGTCTCCAGATAGTTGGAACAGTTATTAGCAAAGCTATTACTCTGCCTACCGATTTCCTTTGCTAAAGCTCGAAGAAACTAATGGAGACTGTCGTCCTGAAAATACAATTTTCAGACAATCTGGTTTCCTGGCGGACGGACAGCAATCAAGCACCACTTAAGCCCTCATCGTTCGTTTTATGATCCCGCAACAAGTATACCGGAGACGAGGAAATTAAACGGTCTCGAAAATGTCTACAACTACTGCGTTCACGATGTATTTATCTGTATGTGGCCCGATTTGGACGTCTGCACATTCAGGAAACGTTTATTAGAGCGTGATACGGGCCAACAGCACTTTACAAAATATTCATTTTTTTCCCTTTCAGGCGATTTTTTTCTGGTGATCCGTTAAATTACGAGTTATGCATTAATTTGTGCGCACACGATGTTCCGCGTGAATCTTTTTACTAATAGCAATTCATTTACACTTACAAGAAACACGTTCTGTGAACCAATCAAATACAATTAGTAAAACTATTCGTCGCGTCCATGAACAGCTAGATTGGATGAATTATTGTAATTAATATTAACTGCACGAGTGAAATTGTCATTGTAATTTTTATTAAAAACATTTGTATTCGTTCTGAAATTAAATCACTGTACATATGTGTTTTATAAACTTTATCTTATTAATTCCAGGCCAATTAATTAATTGATGTTAAGTGCATGGGCACATAATATATTATATCACTGTTTTAGGGTTGATATTGTGTTGACTGTTATTACTGCCACTTTCATTAGTGACTGATACTGTACACTGTACGGTTGTAGTCTCCGGACCCTTGATGAAGGTACCTGCAATGTTGGTCAAACATTGAGAACATTTTGCTTCTGGATAGAGCTTGTAGCTACCTCAGAGTCTCAAACAGCATTAACCGTAATACAAACGGTATTAACTATAATTTCCAACGAAACATATATTTAACAAAATTTCTCATGCATACTTTTAAAACGAAAAACTATGTATGTTATAGCATAGTTTTATACTCATATACTATTTTTTTTGTTATGTTCGCAATCTTTTATATTGGTTCACATACTGTTACAAACACGTGTTTTTAAAAGTGCTGTAAATATGCGATTATGTATGTTGTATGTATACGTATAGAATAAACGAAGTTTCTTATTATATGTTATTATATGTAATTTAAACCCTGACAGATTTGAAAATATCACAATTTCTGTTTCAAGCCTTCGAATCTAGAGAAGATAAAATTTTTACTTTTTTAAAGTAATAATTATGAAGTATGAAATATGGTACATGAAATATTAAATAACTGGAATATCAAGTGTTAAGTATCGAGTGTCAAGTGTCAAGTGTCAAGTGTCAAGTGTCAAGTGTCAAGTGTCAAGTGTCAAGTGTCAAGTGTCAAGTGTCAAGTGTCAAGTGTCAAGTGTCAAGTGTCAAGTGTCAAGTGTCAAGTGTCAAGTGTCAAGTGTCAAGTGTCAAGTGTCAAGTGTCAAGTGTCAAGTGTCAAGTGTCAAGTGTCAAGTGTCAAGTGTCAAGTGTCAAGTGTCAAGTGTCAAGTGTCAAGTGTCAAGTGTCAAGTGTCAAGTGTCAAGTGTCAAGTGTCAAGTGTCAAGTGTCAAGTGTCAAGTGTCAAGTGTCAAGTGTCAAGTGTCAAGTGTCAAGTGTCAAGTGTCAAGTGTCAAGTGTCAAGTGTCAAGTGTCAAGTGTCAAGTGTCAAGTGTCAAGTGTCAAGTGTCAAGTGTCAAGTGTCAAGTGTCAAGTGTCAAGTGTCAAGTGTCAAGTGTCAAGTGTCAAGTGTCAAGTGTCAAGTGTCAAGTGTCAAGTGTCAAGTGTCAAGTGTCAAGTGTCAAGTGTCAAATGTGAACTGTCAAATTTTAAATATCAAATACAAGTACCAACTACCAAATACCAAGTGCCAAATATCAAATACGAAATACGAAATACCAAATACCAAATGCCAAATATCTAGTTTCAAATACCAAATACCAAATACCAAATGCCAAATATTTAGTTCCAAATACCAAATACCAAATACCAAATACCAAGCATCAAATACTAAGTACCAAATATAATATACGAAATATTAAATGTGGGGAACAGAAAGTGAAATAAAATATAAGTTACAAACATTTCCAGAACACCCTATACATTGTTATCAATATTTTTATATCAATCATCTTCACAATCTCGGTAACTGTACAAAAGGAGTGCGTCATAAATATTCAACCACTACCAGGCTATAAAATTGTTCTTTCTTTCCTGAAGAACAAGTTTTCGCTTTAAGTAATAGAGGCATTGGATCGGAAAGATTTATTTAGTAGCTTGTATCTGATGGACGTAGTCTGAACGAGAGCAGCAGCGGTCGAGACCGGTACATGGCTTTCATCAATGAAATCAAGTTAGTAGTATCTAGAGAGGTTTCCGGAGAGACAGGAAGGTGTAATGAGAGTAGTTTAGTGCTTAATCGGGGTTTCTCGAGCGGCCTCTCAAACTACTCCAATTAACTTCGCGCCAAGCCCGATTGCCGGTAGATTCAAGGGTAAATCCGCATGATATTGATTAAATTTAGAATGGGCCACGAAGGAAGCGAGTTAAAGTTTTCTTTAATACGGCTAGCCGAACTGTCGTTTGGATAATTAATCAGTGCAACGTCAGCGAAGGGCAAACTTCGGGTTGATTTAATGCGGAGTCTGCGGTTTAAGCAACCTCAATGAACGGAAGTAGATTAATCGTTGAATTAAAGTTAAAACTATCGCCTTGAGAACTTTAATGAATATTGTTTGTAGACATAAATTAGTATCAAGAAACCATTAAATATTTATTTACGTTTTTACGCATTCACTACTATACTGAGTTCAAAATTAAAAATGCTAATACTTTAAGTTTTAACAAATGTTACCAAATATTTTCAGTTACGAAAGTGCATTTTTTATATAGATGTCTGTATAAAAATTAAAGTGTCATATATGACAGTAAAAGTGTTACATACTTTAATAAATAACATATAAGTGTATGTACACTTACTTTGCAAATATGTACATTTTTTGTACACTTATTTTTTAAATGAATTTTCGAAATTTTTATACACTTAGTTTATATGTGTACGAATTTGAAAATTTAAAATAGAGTTATATAAATTTAAAAATATAAATTTTATTTATATAAAATAAAGTATATCGCATTCATTGTATTCATGATTTATTGTAAACACGAAAAATGTTAGATAGATATTTTCTATGTATAACTAGTAATAAGTTTACTAATGAAGAAAAGTAAAATTATATGAAAGAACTACATGTCACAAATCCATAAGAACAAATAAAAATACATTTTTTCTCAAAAATTAATTTTTAATTTTTTTTAATCAGATTTATGTGTTAATGGAATATTATCTAGTTATTCCTGGAAAGGAATGATTTTACAAGCTTTCTTACTCTGCTTGTACTAGGACTGCTGGAGAAAGAAACCATTTTCTTCACAAAATAATCGAATCCTACATTCAATAAATCCCTACATTTCCAAATATCTAAGTTTCCAAGTACCTGCATCTTCGAATCGCTACATCCTCAAATTTCTACATTTTCAACTGCCTACATCCTCAAATCTCTAGATCCCCAAATTTCTACATTCCAAAATGCCTACATCCCCAAATTTCTGCATTGCCAAATGACTACATCCTGAAATTTCGGGACCTCTAATCACTGAGTTCCCAAAATTCCAAGGTTCTTAACTTAAAAAATCCTGTAATCGCTACATTTTCAAATCCCTACATCCTCAACTCTCTACATTCCCAAATCCAACGTTTCCAAGTCTCTACATCATTAAATTCTTATATCTCCAAATACCTGCATCCTCAAATCGCTACATCCCCAAATTGCCAAATTTTCAACTGCCTCTACCCTCAAATCTCTAGATCCTCAAATTTCTGAATTCCCAAATGACCACATACTCAAATCCCTACATTCCCAAATCCCTGCATGCTCAAATCAGTCTATGTCCAAATCCCCAAGTTTCCAATTTACTAAATCCCTAAATCCGTAGACTCACACACCTCCAGAAAAATAAATTGTCAAAAATCCGTAAAAGAAAGTGGTTTCTCTCCTCTGTTGCGTTCTTATTCCAACATTCGTAGTGCAAACAAAGCAAAAATTCGACTACACACTGACAACGCTAGTAACTGGCTTAATGAGGACGCTTCTAAAAACGGTCACTTTCACTTTCCTTTTCGCTCCTTCCATTTTTCTGTTCTCTTTCAGATGTCCACTACGCGCAGCAACATTTAACAATTTTTTCTATAGCCACAAAACATTCGCAGATGTTATCTGCGAACGTAGGTGGGCACTTGGTCGCATTCGAGCTTATAGCTACCAAACGGTTTGTTGTTGTGTATGTTGTTTACGGCCATGTGCGCGTACACGCGAGGGTTTCGTGCCCCGAGCACGTAGCGGCCATATCGAGATAGGACCAGGGCTAAAACAGGATTGGGCGGTGGATGTAGCTCGCTGTTGTAACTATCATCGTTTAGAATCCCGCTCAGGAAGTGATCGAGAGCTTTGATGACCGTCGTTATGTCTTGCGAATTACGATGGGGATTCGTCGTCTGAGCCTTCCCACGATAGACCAATCCTGCATGATCCGAATCGTCCGTTAGGTATTCATCGCGCTCTTCCACAACTTGATACGAGGAAGATCGTTGAGGAACGTGGGGATGATGTTCGACCCTGGATCGCAGCCTCGACCCACCATTTATCGACGTTTTAACCGTGCCAGTTGTCGATATTCCGTGGCTCGTTTGCACCTGCTTCGCCGTTCTCGAACTGCAAATTCGAGATGAGCAATTAGAGAGAGATGTCACTACATTGGTTAGCTCGCGGAAAATCTGTGTTATTACGGGGACAGTTTTGGAATTTTAAAACTTTTTGTGTTTGGAAAGGGGATTTGGAGACAAACGGGTAGAAGTTTTCTACGTTCCAGAGTTTCAGTATTTGGATATTTGAATATATTCCTACTGTGTAAGTTCAGAATTTTTGGATATTATACTGGAGTAATTAACCAAAGTATATATGTATATACATATACAGGGTGGCTCACCACATTTTGTCAATAATTTTTTCACATAAATAGATTAATACTTTTATATTACATACATATATTATATAATATTATATTATATTATATTATATATAACACATGATTTGGAATGTTAGCTACGATTTGAGAATTTCATGGGTTTCTAATTTGGGAATTCATGGACTTCGGAGTTTGATAGGAAATTCGAAAATTTCAAAACTAAAGAATTTAAAAGTGATGATTTAAACATTTTTTAGTTTCAGTATTTGGAAATTTCAAAATCATACAAGAGTATGAAAATTTGAAAATTCTAAAACTTGGAAGTTCATGGACTTAGCGTTTGAAAATTTAGAAATTTAAAAATTCGAGATTTAAAAATCTGGGAATGACGATTCAGATATTTGAGAGTTTATGGGTTTAGAAATTTGATAATTTGTGAATTGAAGAATTAAAAAATTTAGAAATTGTTTCATCGCAGGATTATAAGGTAAGAGACAATTAAAAGTAAGATTAAATTTGATAAAAGTTGACTAAATTTATAAGGTAAGATTAAATTTGATCATTTAACATAATTTGTGCGTTGTCAAATGTTCGAAAGATAAAGTTAAAGGACGCGAATAATTTTGGAACAATCCTGTGCGCAAATTCGAATGCAAATCGCATACTGTTATTAGTAATGCCATGTGAATCGTTTATAATTCTTTTTGTGCCAATTGCATAGGATTATAGTAGACTCTTTCTACCTTAACGAAAAGAATAATTTGTTCCGCTCGATTTAGCCTCTTCTCACAACGCTTAGTTGAACGTAAAATAAGTTCGTTTCAATGACATAAAAGACATTCGACTGAAAGGAACAATGCAACAGTCTCCTCCTTCCAACTTCTCGCGTCCTACTTCTTTTGACCAGTAACAGAATCCAGTCATCGTGAAAAATATAATTGTAGATTATTTTCAGCTAAAATGCTGACAATACGTATTTTCTGTCCTTAATTAAACTAGCGAAAAGTTGGGCCATGTAAAAAGAGTACCACCGCTGAACTTCGTTTTCGAGCGCCATTTTGACTTCTTCAGCGAATGGTATCCTATAATGGTATTAAGAGGAGTCTTCTGGCAATCGTTGTTCAAATAATTTAAATACAGAAACATACGAGTAGTACAGATTGAATACTCATTCGTACCGAGAATGTTTCTGTTGAGTCAGTTCATATTTTAACATGATTTTGAAGATCGGCGAAACGGAATTTGGCAAAAGAGAAATACTAGCGTGTCAATGCTACGTCCATAATACTACCAAAGTTTTAAATAATGACAATCAAATAATTTCAGTTTTTTTAATATGCTCAAAATACTTCGAACAATTTAATCAATACGATATTTGAAGTGATTGAAAATTCTGTTTATTTTTTCTCCTCTTTCCTGAATTATTTTCTTCTCCCGTATCAATTGAACATTCTTGTATGCTCACTCTTATGAGCGATAATTTGAATATTGTTAAGTATAAAGTAATTTGTTTCTTGTTAGAGCAAAGTTTCTTGTTTTGCGATTGAAGGGTTTAGCGACCTAGGGATTCGAGGATTTGAAGATTTGGGGATTTCAGGACTTTTGGAATTTGGGAATGAAGGTAATTGAAAATGTAGAGATTCTAAGATAAAGGAATTTGGAAAATTTAGCGATTGGAGGATTCAGCGACCTAGGGGTTTGAGGATTTGAAGATTTGGGGGTTTGAGGATTTTTGAAATTTGGGAATCAAGGTAATTGAAAATGTAGAGACTCTAGGATATAGCAATTTGGTAATTTAGCAATTGGGGGATTCAGCGACCTAGAGATTCGAGGATTTCAAGATTTGAGGATTTCAGAATTTTTGGAATTTGGGAATGAAGGTAATTAAAAATGTAGAGATTCTAAGATAAAGGAATTTGGTAATTTAACGATTTGGAGATTTAAAGATTTGATGACGTGGGAATGTATGAATTTGGGGATACAGATTTAAGTATGTAGGTATGTGGGCATGTAATAATTTAAGGACGTATGAATTTGGGAATGTAGTTAGAAAATTTCATATTTCCATATTGTCGATGGAAAAACAATACTCAGCATGCTATTCATAAAATTTTTTATGAAACTGAGCTTTTTAATATATTGCATATTGCGATTACTTGGAACAACAAGTTTGATTATGTGCAAATATTGAACTAGCAGTATAAACAAGTATTGTAGTGTGTAGATTGGAAAGTAAATATGTGTTGCAATATTGTTACGACGTGAAGTTCAAATAGTAATTAACCTAACGCTCATTGTTTTGAAAGGATTAAAAATAATGATACTAACAATTTTTCCGCATCAATTAGTCAATCATATTGACCAGAAAGTCACGATTTCCTAACAAGTTAGAATTAAAATATCTCCTAAACTAATGCTTTTTTCACATAAATAGATTAATATTTTTTTGTAAAGAATATGAAGGAGTATCAGCTGATGCAATAAAAAATATATGATACCATTTACAAAAACATTAATTATCTTCATATGTCCTTTACACGTCCACAAAAAAATATACCACCAGCAGACAAGTCTAGAGTAACCATTTGTACTGATTTTTTGTTGTATTTTGTCATACGTTATAGGTCAAATATACTGCTAAATATTCACTGTATTATAGTCAGTATATTAGTATTTACATACTAAGTACATTAAAAGAATATATCACTTTGACAGAGTTTGAATTAAGTCTACATTAATCAAGTCACAAAGTTTTGCTAATCAAACCCTATGTAATCGTTAATTACGGTTCATAACATTTATAATATAATGCTCATGAAATTTCAAATTTAAAAATGCCATAAACGCTAAGTTGGCTATATAAGTGGCTATTTTACGTTAAAAATAATAACAACACATCAGCCACTGCAGGAAATGCAAACAGACTGCGATTCAATATAAGATCATCTCTGAAGGAAGGCCTAAGGGACAAATCGACTCAAAATATGCTGCTCAAAGCATCTAAACTGTACAACAAGCTGTAATAACCCTAAGTCGCTAATAACCCATGAGCAGTTGTTGTGACTATAAATAAATAAATGAAAAAAAGCTCATATAATCGTTTTGATTAGACTTGTGTACTACAAGTACCAGTTTGTGTATGTTCTTTTATGCCACCAAATTGTGTCAGATTCTGCTTTCGAACCACAATAGAACATTTGTCGTATTATCCCTCGAACTTCAACAATCTCGAAAAGTGAATTCCTTACCTTTGCTTATCGGTGATTGATTTAATCTTCTGATCTCTGGACGGTAACTTGAGGTCGATCAATAGTGGTTTCAGGTATGAATACCCGGCTTGTGTTTGTCTTTCTGTAAAACCTCTACCTGAGGCCCCGACGTCTTCCAAGCCATTGTCCAAGGCATGGTTGGCGAAAACAGCGTGTTGCGAAAGTTTTGGGGACACGGTGTTCGTAGTTGGTAAGTAACCAATGGGCGGAGATTGTAAACTTGTCGCTGGTTGGAAATCTCTAGGTACCTCTGTTGTCAATATGCCACTGGCCGGATAGAGAAACGTTACCTGAATTGGATCATTTTTGCGCTTTATTTCTACGATGTATTGAAATACTCTTACTCGGTGTGTTTCATAAATGTTCCCCATATTTTCAATGTTACGAATTTTTGATCAGTGTTCTGAAACTACTAACTCGTAGTATGTAAATAAATTGTTTAAAAGAAAACTGACGTAATAAGCTGGGTTAAAACCTTATATTCACGCGTTTCATAAACGTTCCAATCTTGTATACTCTTTTTACATTAATCGAGCTTCATAAGCAACCTCATTATGTCACCTACGTTAGTTTCATTTCATATAAGATTCCTTTCTGAAGGTTAGAAAATGTTTCAAACAAGTTTGAACGAACCTGCTAATGAGTTGTTGCACTCGCCATTACTGACAAACTCATTTAATGACAAATAACGAATGAAACGATTGATTGACCAAAGCCTTAAAATATTGGAATTAAAAGAATTTTATTTGCCGTTTAAAAAGATTTGTTATTAGTGTTCGTTAACTAATACAATTAAGAATTTTAATAAGTCAATAACTATGTATACGTTTATAAGGACGTCAATAAATATTACATATGTTTTCGATGGAAATAAAAACGTAATATAAAATAAAAATACAGTTTACCAAATACAAAATAATGACGTCGTCGAGGTAGACCAACATTCTGGAAGGTTTTTGAAATAACTAAAACGACAGCATACGCATCGAGAACTTTTTATACCCTGTAATGCTGTTTGCCCTAAAAGCGAAGTCTTGTCAATGGCAGGAAACGTGTAAGTACTGTATTTATCTACATACTGAAAGATTTCTTAGCTTTCTCTTTTTCTACGTTTTTTATTACGAAATCTCTACTCACATTTTAGTCACGTCGTTTTTGACAACGTTTTTGACAACGTCAATTGAACGTTACCGTAATGAACGTTACCATTTAAAGGTATTACAATTTTTAATTTGTATATAAGCAAAAGCTGTAAAGATAATATTCTAAAATTGTAGTCCGCAGTTTAGACTCTAGATAAAGGCCTAGAAGAATATCCGAAAACGTTGGTGTCAGATACTAGTTTCACATTTTTTCAACATTTTATTTCAAAAGGCTCATTAACATTTCATGGTAAAAATAATTAAATAACTATTATATTAAGGTAAAGGTACCAGTAGTTGACAGTTTAAGGAATTTTTTTGTCTATTTGTTCATATGGCTTAGGCTAAGTTCACTTTATGGAAAATTTATAATTACCAGTCGCTGCACAAACTATTCTTCTATTATATTACAACAAGTATTCATTCCTGATGGCGGTTGTGAATTTTTTTTTTTCCTTGTAAACGTAAAATTTGATTCAATAGTTGACACCCAGCGAAAACAGAAAATTGAGTAGTTGACATCCTTTTGTTTCAGTAGTTAACGTAGAAAAAAAATCCAATTAACGAACTAGGCTTGGTAATGTGTGAATACAGAATTTTTTTGAACATTTAAAAAAGATTATTCGTGAATAAGTTTACAAAAAAATATTTAATAATTAAGGGTTAATATGAAGAGTTAATAATAAATATTTAATATGAAGAGTTCGAACACTCTACATATCGGAGGTATCCTCATATCAGTTTTTTATTGCACTTTCTTCTGCATCAGTCAATACTCTGGCTGGGCCAATTTTTCTTTTAATTGGATGTTTGCCTTCAACCTCGCATTTTAAAGTTGCCCTCGGAACACTAAATTTCCTAGCTGCCGTTTTATACGGAGTTTTATGGAGCCGAACATCTTCCACAGCCGCTTGCATAGTCTCTTCTGTATAATTTCTGAAGTTACCCTTCGTAGGACGCATCTCAAAATTAACAAAGGAACAAAATCAGTAGTTGACACGTAGTAATTTAATAGTTGACACTCCATGTCAAATATTGAATAATAGACGATGACAAGTTTCAGTAGTTGACACGGAGTGTATTTAGACAGTTTAGCATTGTTTGTTGCCAATTTTAATAAATAAACCTCTTTTTAAGTTTCAAACAACATAAACGAATGCCCTTTTTAGTCACAATAATTAAATAATACAAACTTGCAATACTTACATTTTAACGAAATCCTTAGCGATTTATATAAAAAAACACTGAAAAATCGTAAGAGCCGTGCGCAAGATTGATTAATCAGTTGCTATTACATTTTTGAATGGCGGATGTGCACAATAGTTCGTAATTAAGCCACTGAAGCATGCCAGTATACAGATTAATGTTTGATGTATTCCAACTTGTGGCTTCCTTATTTATTTACTTTTTTTGAAAAAGTGTCAAGTACAGGTACAGTGTCAACTACTGGTGCTCTTACCTTATATTATTTGAATATAAAATTATGCCTCGTACTATATTACGCAAAATAAATTGTTTCAATACACTATTTTTTTGATATCGAAATTTTATTCCTCTTTAACATGTGCATCAGTAGCGGAGAGTGTCTTTAACAGATTACTATTAAATAAATAACATAACATATTTAAAAAATTACGCACATTTTGTATTTCTAAATTTAATATCAGAACGTGAGTTGACAACACTACTAATATCGTTACCAGACAGTGATCAGCGCGAACATTCAAGCTTGTATTCACTAAAGAATCGCCGAAAGCCAAATTGATAATGATTTGGTAAAGTCAAACATTCCGAAGTTAATTAGTCTTGCACTCCGATGCAATTTGTTGTATATTATAGTTAATTAAATCAATAAAATCAATGTTGATTAAAAATTTCATGAAAATGTAACAAGTGGTGCTATTTCTTCGGCGAACAGGCGAACTACACGTTTGTGAAACTTTAGTTTCATTAGTTCGCATATACTACCGCTAAATGGCGCCGCATGCATCTTTCTTTTTTATCATCAGAGTCGTCGGTTACGAAGAGTTCTGTTATTCAAGCCGTCGATCAAGAAGAGTTCTATTTATATTTGTGAACAAATGATTAATGTTTAAAGCAATCGTCATTTGATCGTATTCAATTTCATTTTAAAAACCAAATCGTTCACTATTCATTCTGTAATCAAACCTTAATTCAAGAACACGTATTCAAATTAAATTCAGAATCAAATCCAATAAAATTAGTTATTTTGCAAAGTTATTAATTAATTGATTATTAAAATATAAGAAGACAACATAGGAAGGAATATTCCCTGATATCTTCTTTTGCAAAAAAGTGCTTATTTGCAAAGTTTGAACGATATCGAAGTATGACGGTTTTTCGAAATTACGCCTATGCATTAAGAGTATTTCATAAAACTACACGAATTATATGTATATCTAAATTTAAGAAAAAAAAAATGTTAAAAAATATCAATTTTCAAAATTTCGTTTAATACGCAGCATCATTTTCAGAATAGTCGATCGTCAATTAGGTAAAAAATGACATAAGAATGGTAAAAAGTTTTTTCCGTGTCGCCAAAAATCGTTTTCACAGGTGTTTCCTTTCTGAAAAATTAGCTTATTTGCAAAATTTGACCGTGATTTAGAGCACGATGGTTTTTCGAAGAACAGCGTGAAATTGCTGCGAAAGCGGTGAGGAGTGAGGACCAATAAATTTAAACTTCGAATTCCATTTTCACATTTATTAATACCTTCAAAACATTTTTAAGTTACTAATTAAGTTGTAAATAGCACAATCCGGCAACAATGCTTGCATAATGCACCATCTTACACATTTTTTTAATGATGCTTTTATCGAAATGTACACTAGCCTTTGTAAAAATAAAAAATAATTATATAAATATACTACTTTTTTTTTATCTGTAAGCTTATCAGGAATATTGCCATAAAGGGTAGGATTTACTGAATGGTGGGTGCACTTTTTGAAAATACTCAAAGAGACACGATCTCGTCTTGACGACATCCCCGTTAATATGGACATTGTTTAGAGCACTTGGGGCCGGAGAAATTTCCCTCACAAAGGGAAGTATAACGACAAAAGGCACATGACCTGTTTTCGACCATTGGTCGATTTCTGTTTTCTAACACATCGCTAGTTCGTATTCTCACTTTACTTTCAATATGAAAATAAATCGACATCAAACATCATTAATTTTAATATTCAGACGTCTCAAATAATAACCTGTTGCACACATCCTCTAGTCGATTTCAATCAGTTTGGCCAAACTATATCTTGTATCCAATCAATGTAGAAAAAAACATTTGTATATACACCTGGATACATACGTTTAGTAGGATCCGTACAAATCGCACCATAACTTGTAATACCGATGATGAAGTGTTTTCTTTGCTTATCACGATAGACAGATAACGGGCCACCGCTGTCGCCCTGTACAGAAAAATAAACACAGAAAACTATTAACGCCACGGTAATTCTATGGTTCATATGTCTAGAGTACACATTCACAATCCATGAGTTGATTCGAAAAGTTTTGACAAATACTGTTCTAAAATAAAATCTAAACATCTGAAGCTGAGCGTAAAATTCAAATCAATTATCCTGTTTGCGTGTGCTTCTTCATTATGTCTAATAGAATTATTCTTACAGAACAAGTGTCATTCCCTTTGCCACCAGCGCACAAATGTATGTTCGGAATAGCACTAGGTTTAAATTTCTGGCATTCATCCATTGGTACCAAAGGAACGTTAGCGCCCAAAAGAACATCTGATATTTTTCCAGTTTCTGTAAGAAAAATAAAAAAGAGAAATGAATAGTATATTCACTTATACGAATAGAATTCGTAAATTGTTTATCGCTCTTTTTTATTTACTTTCAGTTACTCCCCATCCAGAAACTTCTGCGTCGATAGAATAATTTTCGAAGGCTGCAGAATAAGCCAAACATGCAGGAAATACACTCGCGTTGAAGGTTACATTAGTTTTTAACTCGAGAAGAGCAATATCGTAACCAGCAGGCGTGTTTGATTTATTGTACCCGGGGTGTTCCGTTTTGTGGATAATTTGATGTCTTGCATTTATGTCATTTTCCACCGTCGTAAGATTCAAAACCCCCAAAATAACGTGAATTTGATCGCTGTAACATATAATAATTAAAAAGAAGTAAAAAGAATTTAGGATACTCTTAAAAATCTAAGCGTTTATCTATAAAAACAGTGATAACTGATTATAAATCGTATCTTGTTTATGATTACCAGTCAGGTTTTGAAATAATCTCGATCAGATGCACTGTTACAATAATGGCCGGCCAATAACCGCTCAGATTTTGTATTGACGAGTATCGGCATAAATACTTACATAGTTTCCTTCTTTTTAAAACAATGCGCCGCGGTTAAAACATATTTTTCAGAAATCAAAGAACCTCCACATCTAAATGCGTTATTAACATATATCGCGGCCATATGTGGATATTGATTTTTTTCAGCAGGTTCTCCGTGTATCACCTTGTACATACCACTCGGTCTATTGTAGCGATTGCATTCTGAAACAATTAGTTTGGTACACTAATTTGAAAATACAATTTGCGCACAGATAGCGCTCGCGACATATAGCATGATCATAACGTGAGTGATATAACACGTCACTCAATAAGTCTCCGGTCTAACTAAGAAAAACAAATTTTTTTTTTAGAAATTCCACTTTAATCATCAATATACATTCCTTCCAGTGTGATACATTGATTCCAACGCTCCTCTAACTTTTCAATTCCCTTTATATTAAACGATTTGTCTTTGCCCCCAAATAAGCTGCAATTTCCGCAATCACTTCTTCATTTGAGCCAAATTTCTTTCCCTGGAGCATTCTTTTCATATCTGCAAAGAGCTAGTTGTCGCTGGGGTCTAAATCTGGGGAGTACGGTGTGTGGGAAAACAATTTGTTGTGTTGCGCGTCAACTTAATGCATACGCAACTGTTTAGGTATTGTGTCAGTGACCACTACTCCGATAGTATGAACAAAAACAACGTTTGTAAGAGGTATAAGTTAAACTTTTATTTGTACTTAGAAAAAATTCCCGAGGTGGTAACGGACTTTTAGGGGTGTTTACTCGTTAAGAGCTGGCGAAAGAATCCCTTGTCTCACATGAATATTTTTCCACGAAGACTAAAGATGCGGAGTGGGATTGGCATGTGTTTGGGGGTAGACGAGCGACTTGACAAAATTAACCATTAGATTGGTTGAAAAAATGTTCCGAGAAGGGGTAAGAACCGCCCTAACAAAATGTTCGAGTGCAGGTCAAAGTTGACCTGAAGAAAGTCGACTACACCGTCGCTCGTCACCTAACGGTTGGACAGTCATAAACAATAAATCATGTTGGACCTTAATAAAAATATAAAAACATAAAAATTTCGAAGCTACAAATTGGCCCACAATAAACCGCTGCAACGGTGGCGGTCATTTTCAAGAAAATTTTAAGTAAAATAAATACGGTCTTAGAATATTAAGATTGAGTCCCAACACAATTCAAAACGTAATTCATTCAACTGAACCATCGCATCGTGTTCATCGACTTGTGACACGGCGCATTGCCTTCGTGAAACAGCAAACGCGGCACCCACTTTGAAAGCAATTTGCACATGCCCGAATTTTCATGCAAAATTGTGAAGGTACTACCTTCTGATATCTTCAAAGCATCAGCTGTCTCACACAACTTAAGTTTATGGCCCTTTAAAGCTATTTTGTGGACATTTTTTATGTTTTCCGGAACGACTGCTGATTTTGGGCAACCAGAGCGTTCAGCATCATCGGTGCTTGTATGACCGCGTTTAAATTGAGCATACCAGTCAATGATAGTTGATTTCCCTGGTGCAGAGTCCCTATAATGCTCATGAAGTCACTTTTTGGCTTCAACAGTATTTTTTCCCCATTAAAAAACAGTGTTTAATCAGCACACGAAATTCTTTTCTATCCATTGTCTTCAAAATTACAAAACTGGGGGTACTAAAATGACTGTAACTTCTAAACTACTGGTCAGAATACCTACTTCTACTAACAGTCATTTCTACTAACTATTGATCAGAATACCCTGAAATTTTGACACGTACTGTTTGAAGGTTAGTATTATTCGAAAATAACGTGGGTCTGTCACCAGTATCGCCATATATGTGTCAGACCGGAGACTTATTGAGTGACGTGATAATCATATAAAAATATTACGAACATTTCTCACACATCAATTTAAAACACAAATTATTATACTAAAGCCTCAATATAAACGAAAATGATCTACATGATATAAGCGAAAAAATGATCCACACCTAAAATCTTTCAAAACAGCAGAAGGTACGCTCGCCGAGAAACGTAACGTGATCCGAGTTTGCATACATCCTGGAAACAGTATTAATGCAAGTATGAAACTTTTTCATTTTTAATTTTTATGTTATTAAACTTTTACCCATAGGTAATTGACATTTTTCTGATTAAAATGAGACTAAACACATCGTAATATAGGTCATATTTACTGGCATTAACTTATTGCAGTAAAATTCTCATCATACGCGAACGCTTGGAATTACAAGTAAATATATTTCGAATTACGTCGCGCTTGGTCTCACTCTACTCAGAGAAAATGTTATAATTATATTGGTAAGAGTTTCATAACAAAAAATCAAAAATAAAAATATTTTTTCCTTACATGAAAATTGCCTCATGTGTATGTTACTTTATGTTACATTCAGCCAATCGGCTATTTTTTTCGCTCATTATCCTTTTCAAGTTTGGCAAGACATGATCATTGTACGAACTATACGATATGAGCAAACGTTCAGACCCGAAAAATTTGCTTATATCCAGACTTCACTGTGCTTGTATTGAAACAATTGAAAATACACGTACCTTTTTCCGCTATTGCTTCAGGTGATTCGATAGGTGCTGTGGTTGTTGTAGATGAAGGTGGAGGAGTTGTTTCGGTTGTTGTTGCTGCAGATGATGGTTGAGGAGTTGTTTCGGTTGTTGTTGTTGGTGATGATTCGTTGAGTGGACAGCACACAATAGGTTCAAAAAAGTAATATCCGACAACTAATGGAGGAGATCCACGCCGAAAAGCGTTCAAAGCTGATTTACATTGTCTCATATATGTACCTCTACCTGGTGATCCGTTAATTGTGCACGGATCGCCTGAAACTCACAACAGATGTATATTTAAACTTGTTACAATAGAAATATCCACTTATAGTACATATATGAATAAAACACGTAACACAGATTATTGTAGATATTAAAAATTACTTATTTAATACAATGCTTCAGTTTGCTATTTTGCATTATCAATACAATTTTCAACGATATTCGGAGCTATCTCGCTGTCTTTAGTATTTAATTATTTAACCGAATTAAATTCGTGCTGCCGATGACCGGTAAACGTGGCAGCAAAACATATAAATCGCATTACATCAGTATTTAAAGCAATAAAAGATATTAAACTAATAATTTGTTTACAAAAATTGTAAGTAACTACAATTTGATGCGGTATGGGTAATCTTAGCTTAACATTTGTGCCTCCACGAATAATTCGAGAAACGCTAGGTAATTACCCTAGTGTTCAATGAAAGCGATAAAGCTAAAACAATTGTATATACCTTGGCATATTACTTTACTTAATGCATCTCCAGTTGAACATATGTGGAAGAGAAATACGAATACCAATAATACACTACTGACAGGAAATCGTAACGCCATTCTTGCTCGTTAAATAGTTCTGCTGGTACTATCACTTCCAACTGTAGTGTCTCGATTCTTTAATGTATTGCCGACTTATGTCCCTTCCATTTCCTTCAATTTATACGAAAACAGGAATCTACGGTCATGTATTATATAATATATTTGCATGTATAAAATGCGATAATGCATGACCTGGTCAAGATTCTACAAATATTATTTTCCCTTGACTTGGAAGAGAAATGATTGACACCATTTGATAACGAATAATCGCGAACTAACTATGATGTATCTACTATATTATACAAAAACTTTATTCCTTACTCGAATGACCACTCCAAGTTGGAGACTACGTTAAATCATGTCATGAGTTGTTACTAAGGTTGTTGAGGTTCGAAATTTTAATTTTTCAAGAAAGAAAGCTCGACGTGTATAATTTTCTCGAATAAGGATGAGGGAAACAGATTTCTATTGGCTACACAAAATTGGATGGAAATGGAAGTCGAGAAACGTATGTGGTGGGTATTTTCTTGAACAAGTGATCAGATCAAGTGATAAAATCAAGCAATACTTCGACTTGAATAGAAAACTGCAAATAAAAGACTCCACTGCTAAGATCAAGGATTCTGACAACCAGATGTGAATAGTAATAAATTAAATGTACCTGATAGAATGTAACGACTATTTATGTGTCATTGCTGTTACGGGTAAAGAATCTATTGATTTGAAGGTGTACAAAAGTGTGCGGAGAAACTAAAAACGGTACATTATTGAATAGATAGAAAACTTAGTTCGAGGTATAATCCCCTGGCTATGATAATTATATTCTAATTGTAAAACCTAACAAAATGGGCCCAAACACGTACTATACGGTGTTAATACTAGTTGCATAGCGCTACATGTTTTATTTCCGCCATAAACTTTGAAGTTCTAACGTTTTCCGAAGTTTATCTGCTTGATTGTTCCACTCTATTTCACTTTATTATCGAATGCTCAAAGATCGATTCCACTGGTTTAGATGTAACATTGTATGAGATAAGAAGCGTAAAGAAACTGAAGAATAATAACTGCAAGCGACCTTTCATATTTAATAATTATGACCCTAAAAACTGATATAAGCTTGATATCCACATATATTACAACGTAGAATTATTTATCAAAGTATGTGATGAGAAAAAGATCGAAGGACCAGAATTTAAAAAGATTATTGTTGTATTACGCTACCTTTCATCAAGATAAAATTAAATAAACCTTATTCTTTCAAATAGTTTTTATTAATAAACGTGTCTTTTTACGAAAGATCGGGATTGATGAAGTCACAAGAACACAATTATACTGAAACAGGACTATTTTTAAACAATAGGCGAATCTGATTTAAATTGGCTTATCACTTATTTGCGAAAAATAAATAAGTGAACATTATTGTCTTATATCTTATACTTACCTTTGCAGCTTCTTTGTCCGCGTTTTTCTTTTACACCACTCAACCAATTCTCATCAAATTTTGCACGCACATGCGTTGTACATCCAGATGGACATAGAAAAAGAAATTTTAAATCGGGCTTGCCACGGAGGAATAATCACCGAAAAAAATGATCCTCATAGACTTCAATGTAAAAATTGAATTTGCTCGCGCTTGGAATTTTCGTTATTGGGAATGTTGCAAAACACCCACCGTTTGATATTCAACACATGCATTTTAAAAACACTATCTCCAGATAAATATACAGTTTTATACATAGATCTTCGTTCAAAAAATATTCTTGGATATATGGAGACCAACTTGAGCCGTCCAGGTTTAAGGGGTGAAAAAATTTCACTCTGGGCTGAAATACACACCTGGAAATTAACGGTCAATTTTGAACTTTCACCTCATGCGCAGTAGCAAACCGTTACAAATAGTATAATTTTTTTTTTTTTATTAAAATACACTTCAGATCCAAAACGGACCTATGTGTGTTGTTTTAATTAAATATAAATATAAAAATCTATTGACAGAATAACAAAAGATATAAAACTACAAAATATTGCATATACAAATAGTGCAGTTTATTGACTAAAAAATTGGCGCCCATCCAGTGACGAAAGGGGTGAAATAAACTTAAAAAGTGAGGGTCCGAACACGCATATAAGGAAAATAAAAAAATGAATATTTCGGCACTTTGGCGACGTAGCATGGTTCCTGAGGCATTTAGAAACAAATTTCTATTAGGGTTTGATGCGTTTTGATTCCCAGTAAAGCCAGAAAATGAATTTTTGTCGAATTCGGTCGAAAACGGTACCGGTGGCGCCATCTAGCGGCGAGCGACGGAACTACGAAAAAATAAAATTTTGATTTTCTCCAAAATTAGGCAATTTTACGTATTTCTGAGGGTCAGAAATTGTTCTCTGACCTCTCTAGAACCTATATAATGCCACAACAACCTCTTCAAAGCGCTAGAAAAGAAAATAAAAAAATAGGTCAAAACATGGACTAAAA